TTTTTTTTTTTTTTTTTTTCTTTTAATGATCAAGAAGGTTAATGGGTGCATTTGATGAATGAGTATGGAATTTTGTGGGGTGTGTTGGGCAGGAAAGGCAATGCATAATTGAAGGTGTTGAAAGAGGAGAAGGAATTGAGTTCATAATTGCTATCCATCCCGTTGAGTTTTTCTATAATTTGGCCTCTCGAACACAAAGGGTATGGTTTTTCAATACTATGGATTCATGTTGTATGATGATTGTTCCTTTTGGAATGTTTGCTGGATATCATATTTATTTTCCCAATTTCACTTGGGAATTACAATAAATCAATTCTTCAAAACTGCTTCAATTATAAGTTTGTTCGTAAAAAAAATGCTTTAAATTAAACGAAACGTTTTCGTGTTCGTTTTAATTCGTAATGGTCTATATGTTTTATGATTTTTGTCACTTTTTAAAACACAGAATATTATTTTCGAAAAGAATTTAAAATTTCAAAAAATTATTGGAGTGATGAGATTTTAATTAATTAATCCCAATTAATTTCTTTTAATTAATTATTAATTATAAATATATTATTTAGACTTATTAAATCTTAACTGGTAAATGTTTTGTATTATGTTAATTATTTTAGTTAATATATCTATAATTAATTAATATGGTATATTTTCTACTTTTATAAAATATTAATTATAAATTAATTTAATTTTAATAATTATGTTGAAATAAAATAAATTTAAACTCATAAATAATCATCATATTAAAGAATTGATTATACCTATTATATTATATATTATAAATTATGATTTTTTTCATAAGAGAATTCTTTTACATTTTCGTAATTAAGGTGAGATTTGGAAAAGCAACTAACTTTTATACAAATTTACAAAGACTTTGAAAAAATTTTGTTTTTTAAAATAAAATGTATAATCACTCTAACAAAACAAAACAAATTTATAGTTGAAAATTAATTAAATAAGTTTTTTAGAATATTAGTTGTGATATTGATCGAGATTATAATTGTCTTATAGCTTGTGCATGCTTTTCACTCTCACTCTCAAGACAACTATCGATCTCTTCTCTACCTCATAAATAAGGTTTATGTTGCCTCAAGAACTCAAGACAATTCGAGTTAAATCTTAAAGAATGCAAATGTTGTTTGGCGAGCCCAACAACAAATAAAGATGAAACAAAATGAATCATGTTCATAGAACTATGTACGGTACATGTCTCTGTTTGTACAAAATTTAAACACATATCAACCATAAAATTCTATATACACGTAGAGAAGCTAAACCCTAATGTAGAGTATGCCAAAATTATGCATCCACATGATCCAGTGACCATTATTATATGCATATTTCACAGATAAAGATTCATCAAAGAGAAACTTACATTGGCTTCACAGGTATTATTCCAATGTCAATAACAGACCAGATAGCTAGCATGTAGTCCTGTACAGCAGCTCAACAAGTTGCGTGAACTGACTGTCTTGAATATCCACACAAACTTGGAGGTATAGGATATATGGAAGAAAAAGTAAACGGGATGCAGAGTGATAATGAAGTAAAAT